TAGTCCAAGCCCAGATATGGAGTATGAAAGAGAGGTAATCTGCTAGTTTGGAGGCCAAGAAATTGACATTTCTGATCTTTAGATCTTTTATAACCTCTTGAGAAGATACCTGATTCGGCAACACTATAGGTTTAGTCTCGGGTGGGGAGGAGGCTTTCTGTGTGTCTGAGCACTACGTGTACTTGCACTAAAATAGTTGGCACTATTTTAGGTTCGAGAAACAAAGAGTGAACACAACAGACAAAAATTGCTGTCATGGAGTTTCTAAAAGTGGGAGGCAATGAACAAAGAAGAGAAATAGAGTATGATACACAGTGCTATGGAAAAATATAGCAGGAAAGCAGTTTTAAATAGGGAGGCCAGGTAAGGTCTCAATGAAGAGATGACATTGAAGCAATGACCTGTTGGAGTTGAGGGGATAAGCCATGAGGTTATCTAGCAGAATAATAGTTCTTGGCGGAGACAATAGGAAGTCTACACGACAGGTTCATGGACCAGTAGTGTGGCTGGGACACGGAGCTGGGTGAGCAAATGGGAGATTGCTGAGAAAGAGGTCAGAGCAGTGCAAGCTAGCGTGCGTAGGACCCTGTGTGCCACTATAGAGTTCTGCTTTGCCTCTGAGTGAGCTGGGAAGCCACTGAAAGATTTTGAGCAGAGGAGTGACATAAAATGGTATATTTTAAGGACTCAGAGTGGCTACTAGATTGATAATCGATGGGAGAAGAGCAAGAGTGGAAGCAAGGAGGCTGTTAGGTTACTGTAATAATCCAGGTAAGAGGCGATGGAGGCTTGGTCATTGCAAAGATGCTGAGCATCCTGCCCAAGGTCACACAACTAGTAAACGATGGAATCAGGCTTTGACACAAAGACAGAAACCAGTCACTACCGGATGCTCTCTTAAGAATTTTCATGTGAATAAAATTAGGAAACAATCATTAAAGTTCCCATTTTGAAAAGTTATAAATATGCGTGTTTATTTCATTTCACCACTCCCCACTTAAAGCGGGAAGTCTCCAGGCTCTGGGGCAACATACTGCTCTCCTTTTGAAATATATTTTCAGAGATCCTTAAAAAATGTCCAGATGCATTGGGTAAAGGCTGTGAGAGGAAAGGAGGAGTCAAGGATGACTCCAGGGTTCTTAGGCCAGAGCATGAGTGTTGTCATTGATTGTGAGGGGAAAACAAGTTCTGTGGGAGAAGATCAGAAAGTAACTTTTATACAGTGCAGAAGGAAGTCCCTAGTAAGCATTCAAATAAGGATGGCAAGCAGGCAATTAATATAGGACTTTAGAGTTCAGAGGTGTGATTCGTTCCGAGCGCCCCAGGTGAACTGATTATTAAATACTTCAATTACCACAGTTGTTAAAGATTTTAAATATTACTTTTGATAATATCCATTAAGTGGTATTACAGCTGTCAATCTCATCCATGTAGTACATAACGCACATATCCAGGTTTATTTTTACTAAAATCTACTTTGATCACGTAATACCTTTGTGCAAAGGTCTTCAATAGTGCCCCATGGCCTATGCAATAAAGATAAAATTCATTCGTCAGAAATTAAGAGCCTTTCACAATTTGATCCAATCAGCTTTAGACAGACCGGTTATACTGGGCTTGCCAGCATCCTTCATACTTAGGTTTGTCCATCTCTGTTTCATTTAAGTTCCTCCCTTTGTGGCAATAGATCTCTAAATATCTCAGTTCTCACCATCTATGAAAAGTCTCTCCACCCATCAAGGCCCAGCAAGAACTCCAACTCCTGCAGTAGAACTAAAGCTGAGAAATGAGCTCGCTGTCTGACTTCTTACAGTCAGGCACACAGGCTACACAAACTGTGTGTGTATGTGTCTATATATATATACAGACATTTCACTGGAAGTAAGAACTTTTATTTTCCTTTGGAACCCGCTTAGTACCATGTTCATGGTAAGTGGTATGTAAATGACTGACGGCCCCATCTTTAAGCTCATGTAATTATTAGTATCTAAGCTCTCACATGTTATTATCGCAGACAGCAACGCTAAGAAATCAACACTGCTCCTATCCCCATTTTACAAATGTGGGGGCTGAGCCTTAGGGTCCTTATGCATTGCTCCTGAATTTACAAGCAATGAATGGTACAGTTGAGCTGCAAATCCAGATGACTGGACTCTAGAGTCAGCTCTTTTAGTCACCACGAGGCACTCTGTCTCCTACCTAGATAGCACAGTCACTTAAAAATCCACGCAAATAGATCCAGGAAGCAAAGGAGGTTTTTCAGCCTCAATACTGAAAGAGTATTAAAGAAAAAGCCATGTTTATTTTACCTGCCAAAGGATCCCTCCAAGCATTTATAGAAATGTGATGATCTCTCTTGGACTAATTTTGAGAGAATTATCATCAACCCGAATGATAGCTACAGACCAACGATGGGTAGTTCCTTGGTCTTTTACTTCGCCATATTTCCCTTTGTTCGTTATTTTCCTCTAGATATTATTTTAGTCACTTGAGAAATGAGGACTCTTCGAAATCACTTTGGAAACATGGAGTGATGTGTCCATTTCTCTGAAAATTATTGCAGCCAGTGAGACTTACGAAACAAAGCTTGACTAATAGCCAGACACTTAAAGTATACAGCACATGCGAGAGGGGTGGAGATGAGGCGAAGAGGGCATATGTAACAGAAAATATCCAGTTTTTTTCCCTAGGACTGGACTAGTGCAAATCCCTTTTTTCCTCAAACCAAACTTGGAGCTCTCTAGCAAAGTTCTTGTTTATTCATAAATCACCACATGGCTCTCTGGAGCTAATAGAAAATCTGTCTTTTGTTAAACTGCCATAGCAGAAGAGGCAGAGGAATTATAATGAAAAATGCAAAGGTATAGGATTTCCATTCAAAGAAGCAATCACGCCATGATGTGCTACGAAATGAGTGTGCAACAGGATACCTGTGCAAGGGGCCCAAAGACAACAGTGCCAAAGAGAGTACTTTCTGGCAAGACAGTGTTCTTTCTTGGACTCACGACTTAGAAAACAAACTGGTTACTGAGGAGAAAGGCGGGGAGGGATAGATTAGGAGTTTGGGATTAACAGATACACACTACTATGTATAAAATCAACAAACACCAAGGACCTGCTGCAAAGCACAGGGAACTATATTCAATTCCTTGTAATAACTTACAATGGAAGAGAATTTTAAAATATATATATATATATATATATATATATATATATATATGTATGTATACGTAGAATTGAATTGCTTCACTGTACATCTGAAAGTAACATTGCAAATCAACTTCAATAAGAAATCAGAATTAATTAATTACCTAAGGCCCTATACTCTAGTCGTAGATATCAATGCAGTAAAATTGCTAGATCACGTCTATGAATTTTAAAATGTATGAATTTTAGATGTTTTAATTTACCCTTGGTCAGTAAATATGTAAACTGACTCAGGATATCTTAAAGACTTGACTATTCAAACAAAAAAAAAGACAATGTTCTTTCTAAACACTTCTTTAGATCAGTGTTACCACATTGCAGAGTTATTATTACCAGCTACACAGGTAAGGCTGACAGCCGCCTTGAGCCATATGTAACTATGTTGTGTGTGTGTGTGTGTGTGTGTGTGTGTGTTTGTGTTGAGGGGGCAAGAAAAATATTTTTATGTTATTGTCTTTTTTTTTCTTTTCTGATATGAGTAGGTTTTAGTGTTGATGAAGTGTCGATCTCCAGGAGATCCCTGCTTACATTCCATAAAATCGGATATGTGAGTCATAAGTTTTACCTTTAGAACTCTGAACAAATTTGATTCCCACTTGTATTTTTGGATACTGCCTTAAGGAAAGATCGTTTTGTTTCACTCACATGAACCCCCCCCAAACAGACCAAGAAGCCAGCAGAAAGTAAATACACATACATACACATAGAGACATACACATTCTAGGTGGAGAGAGCATGTGTGTGGGGGTATGACTCAGTTCTCAGTTCGGGAAGCAGAGGGAATTCAGCAGGGCTGGAGCACAGGGGGAACTGGAGAGTGGTGGATCTGAAGGAGACAAAGGAAGGTCAGGTCTTGGCCACCCACTCATTTCCTGCTAAAGAATTTGAATTTCAGCAGTTTTAGGATTTATCCTATACATATGTGCTTGGCTGTACACCTGAAGCTAACATTGTAAATCGACTTCACTTCAATAAAAAATAAGAATTTAAAAGTTAATTAATTAATTAATTAAGACCCTATACTCTAGTTGTAGGTGTCAGTACAGTAAAATTATTAGACCAACTAGGGAGATCTAAACAAAAATGTAAATTCAGGGATTGCCTGTAAATTCTTTCTTTTCTCCTTTCAACGGCACATTCTTCCCTTGCCTTTTCTTTCGCTCCCTCTCCTCCGAGTCCAGAATGAGGTCTTCTGCTCTATCCTGGGCCATGGGTGCAGCTCCAAGCGTTTGCTTTTTTCTGCACTATCTAGTAAGTGTGCCGTTACCTTAGTGCCCTGTAAAATGACAAGTCAGCTTATTAAAGCTAAATGTTAGTGCCCCCCCCAAAAAATTTTTTATTGTGGAGTCATAGAGAATACCTGGATAACTTATGAAAAAGACAGTCTGGAGACTTGAATCTTGAGAACCAAGCTTAATCTTCCTGCTAATATAGAAGATTAGCTTTATGAACAATGCCTGATATCTTTATAATGAATTATCTTCTCTTTCAGTTCCATAAGAATTAGTGGCACTTATAGAATTATCTATGATTCATTAACTGTCACACCGCGAAGCTCACATGTACAGGACACTGTCAGAAGATCCTGCCTTTAGGGAAGCAAGCAACCAAGCTGTCAAAAGGTCGATTGTTACTTAATTGCACTGGGAAATACAGTGAAATTATGGCAGTTAGGCTACTGAGGAAAGGCTTGGTTTGCCCAGGCGTTCTTGGTAACTTCCTCCTCCAGCGGGAGGAACTGCCAGTAAAGGAAGAATGACAATTTACATACCATAGCAAGGCTAATCCGCCTTGTGTGTTAATCACAGCACGCCTACTTGAGACATCCTGGGAAATCCCTATCTGGAAGAGAAGAAAAGTTAAAATCACCATTGCTGTGCTTATTCTGTGGAATTTGTGGACAGAGTCACTTCTATTCATTTTCAGTGAAATATTGAAAAACTGTTCCTGTTATTTTCTATCATGAGTTAACTGTTTGTGTGATCTTTTTTAAATTTGATGTATTTGCTCTCACTTTAAAAGATACCGTAAGAGACATTTTCTTTCCTTTTTTTCTTCCTACTTTCCAAGACTCCAGGAAAAACAGCTTCCGTGGCAACTTGCGTCCAGAGCACAACTAGAATGAGTGGTGCAGAAAGTTGTACAGAGCTTGCAGAGGTAAGAACACATTTCTAGGGGGTGAACTGACTGTATTTAGCATCAACAGCATTGCTACTGGCTAATTATGCAATGATTAATAAGAGTAGAAATGGCTAGTTTGCTTTCTTTAGCTAAGACCTGCTCTGTATTTTTTAACAATGTTATTCAACAACAACAAAAAAATCTAGGTAATGGTTACATTTTTTTAACACCTGTGAGCTGCGTTTCTTCCTTTACAAAATGAGAAATTAAATTCCATCCTCTCAGCTTTTCAATTCTGTGTGTTTCATATTTTGTTCTTGAGTTAGAGGAATTTGGTTCAATGTAAAATTTAAAAAGAATATTATATTGATGCGGTTAGAAATAAAATCTATTATAGCAATAGAGTGTCTATGGTAAAATATTTATTTATGTATGCAATTAATTATGTAGTCTTTGTTTTGTTAACTGGTTACTGCAACAGATACTAATTGAATAAATGAATGAATGAATGAATGAATGAATGAATAAAAATGTTTTCTTAAAGTTTTTTTTTTTTGAGAGATAACTAAGATATAGCAGGAAACTCAGTGAGACTCTTGTTCATTTAGGTGTTTAATTTAGCAATGTCAGAACTTGAGTATCTTAGAGGTTGGTCTGGTATTAGGATAAATGAGGAAATAATGCCCAGCCACTTTGAACACAGATTACATTTTTATAGGGAATAACTGTTCTTTAAATGGGCCCTTAGAAGGACCAAAGACTAAAAATCTTCCTATTTATTGCAAATAGCTTTATTAACAACTGGAAAGCAAAGCAAATGCAAATGAAAAGTTTCCCCCAAACTTTGTATTTAATTGATTTTTTTCATTTTAATACATATCTAAGACATATGAACCATGGTAAAATGTTGATTGATCTCCGAGAAATCCCTACATTTATGACTTATAAGCCATAATTATTGTTGTGATGATCTTGCAAATGATTTTTATAAAGAATTATTTATATATATATATATACTTATTTATAAAAAAATCAAGAGTCAAAATATTTCATAATTTTTTCAGAGAAAATTGTATATGGGAAAAAATGCACACTCTCTGATTACTCTTAATCTAAATTCCCAGAAGGCAAGGCCATACAAATGTTTGCTGGTCACAGATTTTTCGTGTGTGTATATCATAGATAGAGAAAAGACTTTTTTGAGGACCTAAAATCCATATTCCGAAGCACAGTGTGGAATGCAACAACCTTGAACTTTAGTATGAATATGATGGTCTGCGAAATTTATTAAAAATAGAGGTCAGATAAATAGGTGGAGCATAGAGGATTTTTAAGGCAGTGAGATCATTCTGTATGATACTATAATGATGGTTACACGTCTTTACACATTTGTCTAAACCCATAGAATACACAACACCAAGAGGGAACCCCAATATAAACAATGGATTTGGTTAATAATGATGTGTCAATATAGGTTCATCTATTAACAGATACACCAGCCTGACAGGGGATGCCAATAATGGGGAAGGCTGCCACATAAAGGGGCAGCAGGTATATGGAAAATCTCTATACTTTCCACTGTTTTACTGTGACCTAAAATTGTAAACAAGAAGGTAGAGTGCTACGGCTCCCTTTCAGACATTCTGATTCAGTGTTCAGAGTGTTCTATGTGTAGCAAACTCCCAGGGAGACTTTGATGCACTCTTGTGGTGAGAACCCCTGGTGTAGAGTCCAGGCTCACCGCACCTCTGCTTTGCTGAGCACAGGACACTCTCAGCAGGTTTGGCTCACAGCATTTTCCAAATCAAAGCTGCCTAATATTTAGTCTGTTCTGATCCAGAATAAGTCCAGACCCCTGGAAGTCCTGAAAAGGAGCAACCTCAATTGCAGGACCGAACATACTTGCCACCTAGAAATTGATGTTACTTCTGGCACTCAGCCAAACCAGCTGGAGGTCAAAGGAGGTCTAATCATTCTGATTTTGTTGACCCACAGAAAAAAAATGTCTTTTTTAAAATGCAGTCTTAATTATAAATGGGTCTGAATAGGAAGTAGCTAAGAAAACTAAGAACTGCGTTTATAGAGACGTAAGATACCATCAAGACCTAGAACGCTGAGTGAGACAAAAGTAAGTACAGATAGAAAAATAGTTTTATAAGTCATTTCTAATGCAAAAAGCCCTTGACATCCCATGATGATTGCAAAAGAGCATTTCCTGTAAAGTTTCTGACAAAGGCCAACATGTTCTGAAAATATTTCTTAATTGCTTGTTAATACCGTTAAGCAATTTCATGGTCCACAATAACTATTGAGTCTGAAACTGAATAGCAGATTTGGGGACTACCCTCTTCACCTAATTTACTGTATTACTTACATGACTCAGCCATGAGGTGGTTATAAGATTATTGAGTTGGAACAGAGAAAATAGTACTTAAGGGAACTTTGCTGGTGGTCGATTTAGACAGACGGCAGGCAGTTTCCAGAGCTTTTGTGCTTTCTTTAAATACATTGAAAAGAAAAAACCCTGAAAAGAAAGGTGGTTAACTTTTTCACCGTGCCAATGATTTATTGTTAATCTAAATTTGTAACCTATTGGGTTTATTCAAAAGACTGCTAAAAATTACACCATGCCAGGTAATCTATGCCCACCTCCATAACATAATCGTATGATGGTCATTGAGGGTAGTTAATTTATTGTAGTTTTCAGAATCAGTTTGTGCCACTTAACTGTCATGTGTTGGTCTTTTTTTCTTGATGGTTCTATCACTCCTCTGACTTTTGCCCGGGCCACTCTTCAGATCATGGACACAGCTACAAAAATAATTTTTCAGAAACGTTTACTAGATAAATACCTAACATGTATCCATGAAACTTACCTGGTTTCTATACACATGATATGCTGGGGGTTTTTTTGAAAAGGATTGAAATCCAAATTCATAAAATCCTAATTTCTTGCTTGCCTCTTAATAGGCACATTTACAATTCATAAGAGCATTATTTTGGTAGTTGACTCATATAAAGGTGTCCAAAATATAAAGCTTATTCATCAGCAGGTCTCTATGAAAGGCTACGGTGTGGGGATTGTCACCGCTAAAATACTTTTTAAAAAATCACAACATGAGAGTCTGTGAAAGAAGCATTTCTCCTGTTTTCTTAAAAGACTGTTCTGTTTCACTTTTTTTTTTAAAGTGTGCTCAATCATCAAGAAGAAAGAACTTACCAAATCCTCTTGAACAAAAGATAAAGTACCTGGAACAACAGAGGAAAGAGGTAATTCTGAAATACTAGTTGAAGCAACACGCATGGATTGATGCTGAGAATAAAACAGACAGTGTATCACCTAGTGCCTTTAATTTTTGTTACAGGGTCACAGTGTTTATCTCTAGGACCCTGGACTGCATTACTTTGAGAGCAAATGCATCTTTCTAATTCACCTACATATTTCTTACTTGGCCTCTCGGTGTTAAGAAAATGAATAAAAAATAGCGAAGTCATAAGTCCAATAATTAGAATCTTAACTTTTTTCAAAGCTGAGATGTTTCCTCCGTGTGGGCCAGGTGAGCTTATCACCTGTCACCTTTATGCCCTGCAACTTGACATACCCTGAAACTCAAACTGTCAAAGGCTTTATTGTACAGTTGACTTAGGTGCTATGACTTCATGAGTTGGTGTCATTATCATTAAAAAGAATTTTTTATTCTAAAATGCCTTTGGGAATGTGATGTATATTATTTTGAGTTCTTTTTTGTTTTCTGAGTTATAACAAATATTAGAACCTCCTTATTCTCCTTGATAGAGAAAGAAGTGAAAAGTCAGCAATTTTAGCACTATGTTGTCAATTCTGTAATTCCTTTTCTAAGTCACTTTCTGTATTACAGCCTTCATGTTTTCTACTATAGTGCCTTTTGCCCCTCTTTGTGCTGTATAAAATATTGTGCCCTTCTGGAAAATTACTGAGCTCTAGCAGAGTAAAATTACTATAGCATAGAAATGCTAGTCCCTAAAATGACAACAGATCAGGTATCTTTATATAATAATATTATATAGTCTTATACTAAATAGTCATCTCTAGTTCCAGCATAAGAGTTACTTAGTAACTGCTAGTCTGGATTAGATATTTTGTTTTGTAATTAAGAGAAAATCTTACTACCTTTTAGTCCTTTGACTATCCCCTTGATGTCTGTCCCATATTGATAGGTGTTGGAATTTCTCTTAATATGAGAAGTTGTAGACTTCCCTTACAGGAAAACTAAAAACAAGTCATAGTGTTTTTTCTTTTATCTATTTAGTACATTGTTTTAAAACTTTCAAATTGTTTTCTGCTTAATTATTTCTAAATATTGCCTTATGACAAAACTATTATTCCTTGAAAGTCTGTACCTTCAAAGAGGTGATATTATTCATTCACTGAGTGTATATTACAAATCACGTGCTGATTTAAAAAAAAAAACCATAGTATTGTAAGCAAATGATTATCAGTTAACAGGGCTCAGAATTTTTTAGTAGAAATTCTGCTGTTAAAAAGCTAGAAGAAATATTTCATTATAATAATCAATGTAAGAACAGAGAAAAATATGAAAAGATTTGAAAAAAGGCCCTTCATATATTAATAAATCTCACAGAATACCATTAATATATTTTTTATCAGAATCTGGTTGGATTAAAGAAAGAAGATGAAAATTCAAATAACTAAGCAAAGTTAAAAGTTGCCAATAAACTGTTCAGCTGACTAATCATACCTAAGACCTAACAGTTTTTCATATGTGAACCAATTATGAAAGGGTGAGAGTGTGTTCAAGAAAGTCATCTCAGATCTACCGGAACTTGGTGGAATTGTCTTCACCCATGGCTTCTAATAAACTTCAGTAACCTCAAAAAAGTGATTTCATTTTGGCTAAGTTTCCAAATGGGCAGAAATCCTTTGTTGATTTACTAAATTTTAATAATTTCAGCTCCTGGAAGTTAACCAGCAATGGAATCAGCAGTTTAG